TTCAAAAGTACAATTTTGCTTGAAAACTGAGCTCCTGAAGGAAAAATCTACTAAAAATTCCATATCTCAGCAACAAAGATCCAACAACTCACACCACTCTAAAGCATTTACGTATGAACTAGGTTCTGTCGATTGAATATAGTTCTAGCTTAAAAGTGATTTATCACTTGAAGATCTTCTCCTGTTAAAGAGGATTTTAACATAGTTAATATGACAGTCAGTTTTTTTTAATGTTATTTATAATCGAAAATCCAAGAAAACAGCAGGTCGTATATTTATGTTTATGACACAGTTATGTTGTCTCCATTTTTGAATAGCAAATATTTGGATTTTCTTTATAATGAGATGACAGAATTCTGTTTTATGAGAAATGAAATGACAGATTATATGAACAACTTCGTGATTGACAACCTCATCTCGTTTCCTTGGAGTTACACATTTCAAGTAATTATGTTTATATTAATAATTACTTTTTTGTTTTTTGATAAAATATTTTCTAAATGTTTTTTTTTGCTCTATAAAAGTTTGTCACAAGTCAACTTGACCGTACATTCCTTTTTTTCTCTTAATCTACAAAATGTAGAAAAATATTGATTTATAATAGCCACTTGTGTATCATTAATATAAATTGTGTACATTAAATCGCTCCCAAAAAAAAAGTCAATTTTCGTTAGAAAATTTAAAATTGAGATAAATGTATGTCGAGCTAGCCCGAGGTTTGGTCCTTTCATAAACGACATGATTTTTTTAATATTTGGCATCTTGTTTTTTTTTCCAAAAATTTTACACGATTTCCGTCATTTTCCTCTTGAAAGAAAAACGGGAAATGTTTTTTCTCTTTTTATGCTTTTATGATTATGCATCATAGAATTCTCGAAGGAGTTTTAATGTAGCCAATTGCTTCTTTTTTTTTGTTCGAAAGAAGTATATGAAGCTGCAATACTCATGTTTTAAATTAAGTTTTTTTGTTATTACACAAAAAAAAGTACTACTATAAATAGGTCATCCTTTTTCTTCGCATAAAAAAATAAGAATTTCAGGTTGCCAAATAAGTTATTTTTGACCGTTGTTTGTTGAATATCTCCCAGAAACATGATGATATAGAGCTGAAAATTTTAACATAGTCTCTCTGCTAAAGCTTCAGTGTATCCTGAAAATTTCATACGATTTGCATGTACCTGGTTCAAGTTCGATTTTTATGGATGCCATAACGCTCAATATTTGATAACGTTAATACAAGTGAACAGATAAACCGAATAATTAGTATTTATCAATTCAAGTAAATTACAAGACAGCCACGAATGCTTCAAGGTCAGCAGGATTGGGGAGGGATCGATGATTCAGGAGACTGATTGGAAGATTTTTGTTATCATTGACTGGATTTTTGGGCAGACACCCCTGAAGACAACATAGCATCAGTAAATTGATTAAAGAATTGAAAATCAAATTATTGTTTTTTCGATATTTTTTTGACACCTTACATATATTGATTATTCGTTTAAAATTCCAAGTCATATAACATTCAACTTTCAATAGATAGAACATTCTATGTCTATTATCTTGATTAGCCTATGTTCATTCAATTTTTCCACTTGATATGTGTTAACCTTCTCTTGTATTATTGTTATTCTCAACACGTAATTCTTTCTTTTAATTAATTGGTACATTTAATCGGGTAATTAGTTTCTATAGAATTTCTTTATATTATCATTTTTTTTTTCGTTTATTATTAATCAAAGAAAAACAAAATTGATTTACAATTAAAATGAATATACAAAAACAAAAAAGAACATTATGTTGGACTTACTAAATCAGTTTCTAATAAATTATATTTATTCATTGACATTTTCAAATCTTCATTAAGTAAATCATCATTTTTTAATGAGGGAAAATCAAGTAAATTATCAAGTTTTGTTGATGTTGTTAATATTTCAAAAGCTAAATTTTTCATTGGATTTAATGATGATGATAATGATGATGATGATAATTGAAATGAATTTGTTTCTTCATCTATAGGCATTTGTTGTGTATTTGTTATTACATGAGGTAATCGTTGACCTTTAATTTTATTTGTAAATGCCGACCAAGTTGAATATGTATGTTGTAAATCAGTTTGTGATGACCATTTATTAGTTGTTGATGTTGTTGAAAAAATACTTGACGTTTTTCTCGCTTTTTTATCTTGAGTTTTTGTTGATTTACCCTGTTTCTGATGTTTATTAGATTGTTGTTGTTGTTGTTGTTGTTGTAAAAGTGTTATATCATCTAATGATTTACCTATTGAATATTCTATTGATTTATTTTCTTTTATATTTGTTAAATCTTTATGTAATACTATTTGAAATGTTTGTTGTAAAGCATTTTCAAGTAAATCATGTTGTGTTGATTGTTGTTGATAACGATGATAAATAATTGAACGTTTAAAATAAAGTATACATATATGACGAAGTGAATGTATTTGCTTATTATTATAATTATCAATATGTTGATTACTAGAATTTGTTTTATAATTAAGTAATATTAATAAATAAATAATTGTATTTAATTGATTTAAATAAGCAAGATCAAGTAATGTTCGTCCAAGATAATCTCGATTTAAACGATAATCAACAAATTGTATAAAATAATAAAATAATCGAATATGTCGTTTTAAAATAATAGTTGATGAAAGCATAGCATGTAAACATGTTTGATCATCATTATCTAAATGATAAGCATTAGCACCAGCACGAAGTAAAGTTAATGCTATATCAAGATGCCCTTCAATACAAGCATAAAATAATGGTGTTTGATTTCTATTATCACCTTGATTTATTGCTTTAAGTATTGTTTCATCATTAGATGATGAATTTAAAAGTTCTTGAAGAACTATTAATGAACCAAGAAAAGCAGCTATATGAAATGCTGTCATGCCACGATCATTGACTGCACATAGATCAGCATTATGGGATAAAAGAAGTGCACACGTTGCTGGATGATTACTAGCACAAGCACACATTAATGGTGTCCAATTTTGACTATAGGAGAAAAACAAGATAGTGTCTTAATTGAAAAATAATGTCGCAAAAAAATTACGCATCAGGTGTATGAATAATATTTTGTCCTATATCATTTGTCAAAATAAAATTTTGAATCATTCGATTATTTCCAGTTGATACAGCTAGATGAAAAGAATTTCGTCCTGTATTATCTTGTTTATACATATCAGCACCATGTGACAATAGTATTTGTACAATCTATTTATTTAACTATAATTATACTAATATTCTGTTCTTTTTTTTTATTGACTAATTAATCTCACTTCTTCATTACCCAAATAAGCAGCAATATGAAGTGGTGTTGAAAAACTTGCATCAGTTACATTAACTTGTGCACCGGCTTGAAGTAACATTTGAATAGCACGTATATTAGCTGATTCAACAGCTGTATGTAATGCTGTTGCTTTTGTTGAAGGATCTAGTTGATCTGGTGAGAAACCTGAAATATGATCTCATTGCTCTTTAGCTATTTATTATGTTTAATATAAACATAATGTTATTTATTGTTTATTACCAACCTGCAAGCAAATACTTGTGTAACGTGTCGGTATCCTTATCTTGAGCGGCATTGACAAAGGCATTGACATCAAGTATTGGTACGAGTGATGAAATTGATGAAGAAATTGTCGATTTTCGTTCAGTATTTGACGGTCCACGAAATAAATCACGTAGACGCTATAAATATATAAAGAAAAATAAAAAAAATATTCAATTATTAAAGTCAGTTAATAAGCAAAAATTTTTTTTTTATAATTCGACAACTTACCATGCTTCAGGTATGTGTACACACAAGTTCGGTGAGTAGATAAAAAGAAGCGAAAGATAAAGTGCAACAATAGTGATTACGATTATGAGTCGTCGTTGACATCAATTTTTTCGTTTTTTTTTCCGTTGTCCTCTGAATCAACACGATGTATATGCATGTGCATACAGTAAAGGACGGGCTGAGTCAAACCATTGATACACTAAATATATCAGTTGATGCTGATCGATTGTCAAAAACACTGACAGGTGCTTTTCACTATTCGAATATAAACGACTTGTTTCGATAAAAATGAAAAGGAAGAAGCAGGGGTATAGAATGGCAAAGAAATGAATGATTTATTCTATGTACTGATGTCGATAGTGGTGATGGTGATGGTGATAGTGAGAAAAAAAAAGAGAACAAAAAAAAGCGGCAAACTGCGGAATCAATATAATAGTAAGATGAAGAGAAAGAGAGAAGAAAAAAAAAGATTGTTCTTGTTGTTGTGCGATTTAGGGATCCGTGATGTTAATAGACCAATAAATAAAAAAAAAAAGAAAAGAGCATGTGCTATACATTGTGTAAGTTCTTGATAACATACGATTGAGAAGGACAAATGAAGAAAACAATACAATGATGACATATATAATTGAAACCAGAGCTTTTTAATCTTATTATTTTGTCACTTATAACTTTTCAAGAATATTGAAAAAAAAAAGAAAAAAAGAAAGAATTCATATGAAAGAAAATTTTATTTCATGATTATAATATAAAACCAAGGTTAAAAAGAGTACTCTTATGTCCGATTATATATTTATTAATTTACACATTTCCTTTCAAATATCTGACATATATAAAAATTCGATGAGATTTATCTAGTGACATTCTTTTCTTTTCTTTTTCGTTTTTTTTATACACAATAAAACATATTGTTAAAATATTTTAACAACTTATGACCTTGTCCATTTTTATTCAACATAAAAATATAATAAAGACATACAGTATTAATCGTATTGTAATATTATACTATGTCAAAATAGTTCATACGCTTGAAAATACCTAACAATTATGAAAAAAAAATAAATATGCATTGAAAAAGGAAAAACAAAATTCGATTGATAATCACAGATAATAAAAAAAAAAAGCACATAGGGTGATTGATGAATATAGAAACAAGAGAATGAAAAAAAAGAACCCGACATCTAACAAATGAACTTTCATAATCTCATTTCAATTATCGTTTTCGTAGCAAATATCAACATAGCAGCAAACATAAGAACAATAAACGATAAATTACAAAGACAAAATGAAAAAGCAATATGTTTTTTCAATCGTGTCCTTCCTTCTTGTTGTTTTAATAAATGTTGTTGTATTTGAAATTGTCGTCGTGCATCTAATTGAGCAAATGTATCAAGTTGTATATCTTCATCACAAAGTAAACGACCTAGAACAAGATCACGTGTACTCATTGAATAAACTCGACCATCACGTTCAACATGTACAACTTCATTAATTGGAATAGTTTTTAAATCAAATCTTGTTTTATGTAATTTTTTTTTTATTTTAAGTCCATTATCTTGTTGACGTAATAAAGATATTTCTTTCATATCTAATACTTGTAAAAGAATTTTTTCACGTAAATTTATCCAACGTAAATCTTGTTCAATTAATTTCATTCGTGCATATGATTCACTCATCATAGCTATATCTCGTAAACGATGACGAACAATATGCCATTTTGAATTACGTGGTAAATGATGTAAATTTCGTCGACAACGTACATATAAATTTTGTGTTGAACGACGTCGACCTAATGAACGTAATGTTGTTGATGATGAATATGATGAATGTATACGACGAGCAAAATGACGTTCAATAAAATTACGTCGAAGATGATCAACAGGATTTTGTTTTGCATGTTTTCTATCAAGTAATGATGGATCAGAACTACCAAGTTCATTTTTATATTTGGAATTTGTTAGTTGTAATTGACTATTAGTTAAATTATTATTCGAATATAAATTAATGCGTACTTCAGATGGTGATCGTCGTGTTCTAGATGTTGATAATATTGAATGATTATGATTGTCATGTGATATTGTTTTAGTTAGTTTTGTTTGATTATTGACATTTAAATCATCACCATCATCATCATCATCATCATCATCATCATCATTCGGTATATCAAATGATGATTGTTTAATAGTAAGAAAATCCGATGCTGATTTCGATATTGGTAAATGACGTTGTCGTCGATCAGCTTCAATTTTTTGTATTATATGTGATGGAAATGATTTGAAAATTTTTATTGGAGGACGTAATAAATATTGATCTTCTACTTGATTTTCAACAAATGATTTTGTTTCATCATCACCTGTTAAATTAAAAGTGATGGTTGTTGCCATATGTATAATACAATTTTTATTTTAACATCTGAAATAAAACAAATTCATTTGATTATATTCAATTATCAATAGTAAAACATTTTTGATGTCATCTAGGTAGAAAGATTTAACTACGTAGAAGAAAAAGAGAAAAAAACAAGGTACGGGAATGAAAACAGATGGACATTTTACGCGTACATCAAGAAGCTACTTTTATTTTTAACTAAATTATTCAGTAATAATCAATTAGTGATAATTTTTTTCATTAAGTTATTAAAAATTCATCGTAAAAGGTAACATAAAAAACAGCAAAGAAGAAAAGGTAAGCTACCTGTATTTATTACTTCAATTATTCATTTGTGTTGTCGCATAACAAATCATTTATACGATATATTCTATCAGACAAATAAAAATAAAAAAAGAACAAAACTGAATAAAGAAAAAAAATATGATTTGATGAATATCGATTTCTTTTCATCTCATTTGATTCTTGTTCATATCAAAAAAGTAAATTCTTAATAGATATTCGGCTTAGACAATTCTAATCTTTAAAGTAACCTGCTGTTATAGGCCATAATGTTGACAACTCTAACAAGATATGTCAAAAGGACATAAATATTTATATCTATTAATACAGTCTATCTACGTCAGTTACTCTTTGTTTCTTGAAAAAGCTTTAAATTATTTTGATAATGACACATTTTCAGACATCTCATTGGGTCAGATATGTTTTTTCGTCTTTATTTAACACGATAATATATTTTTTCTTGCATTCTTACTATGATGTACTTGATCGAATGAGAACTGACTACGTCATACAGTAAAATTATATATATATATATATATGTATATGTAAAGATACATAAAACAAATTGGCGTGGATAATAGTGACGTGATAATCTATATAATATTGTTTTTTTTCTTTGTTTGAATAATTACAAATAAATTTTCTAAGTCACTTGTATGGAAGTTACATCGTACATTTAAATATAGATCTTTTATTATTGACGTCGTCGCTTATTATTTTGTTTTTTGTACTTTTTGTAGAATAAAAATAACTATGATGACCGTATAAGTATCAAGAAAAAATAGCTAACAAAAAGAAAAGAAAAGAAATATTTATACAACTCACAAATCCATGCACATGTCAACTCGATTGTAGTCTGATTATGACAGTTGCTAATGCGTACGCATATATAAACATGATATGTATTGCATCTGTAAAAATATCTACAAATTAGTAACTTTTACTCGATGTATACATATTTATATATACATCATAGAGTTTATATAAATTTCAAACCTACATATATATATATATATATATATTTATATATACATTTAGCACTTAGGTAAGTCATCAATGAGTTACAAGAAAAATTCAAATATATATGCTTGTATGAATAAAGGTAAATGTAGGACAGCAAAGAAAAAAAAACACAGCTATTCAGTACAAGCAATCAACATTAACTAGCAGAAAAAAAAGTTTTGATTAATTCGTTGAAGGCGGTTAGTAATATATTATGAATATTGATAAACAAAACGGATTACTGTAACAACAATAATATAGCAAAGAAGAAAAAAAAAAGCGTTATATTGCCATATTTCAGTGGACATTTGACGTCTATTTTCTTATTCAATTACAGATATCTACATTGTTATTCTGTTTTTTCCCTTGCACAAGATGCAAACTATCAAACGAATATCATTAGGGAGAAATTTATACTCATCGATCGATGAGTACCAATTATCCTTCAGAGTAAACCATGAGAATATATTAAACAATTTATATTTCAAGTTGATTCACATAATAGTTTAATATTTTTATTATTTTCATAAAAAAAAATAACAACTACTATTTAATATTCGTCAGATGACAAACAAAAACCTTCTCAATCCACTCTATACCTAGAATCGAAAAGCAAAAAAACTGCTTTACTTACCAATAAATCAGTAGTAAAATGCTACCATATATATACATATAAATCAAATTTCCTCTTTTCTCCTTTTTTCTTTTAGAATAAAGAAAGAAAATCTGAAGTGCTTTATTTTCCGGCATTCTTTATAAAAACAATAAATTATAAATGAAATATAAACGATACTGTGTTCGTTTAGTTAGAAGATAATATTGATATTATGAATTGCTGATAAGTTTTTCTTCTATGTTGAATGCGCACCTAAATAAGGTTTACGCTGTCTAAATCAATTATTTGTCTCAAACTCGCGACATTGAGAATATTATCAATAATAGAAAATATGCGAAAAAAAAGAGTAAATGAGAAGAAAAAATACTGATTTTACATTCAATTTGTTTTATTCTTTAAGTAAATAAATCAAAAAAGAAAGTTATAACAGTACTTAAAATAAATTCTCCATTGCTTGAGTTTTAAGAAAAAGAAAAAAAAAATGTTCATTTAATGTGAATCACATGTAAAAGTCTCTGTTTTTATTTTCTCAGTAAATATCAATTGTTTCATATTGATTTATGATTTTCTTTGTTTTTGTTTTAATGTATATTTCAAACATTTTGTAACTATACTGAGAAAAAAAAAACATATTGTAAAGATACACGTGCTGCGAATCGTAAGAAGTCATTCTGGCCGTTGAGGACGGGTAAATGTACTCAATATAATGTACAAGTCCGAAGAAAAAAAGCAAAGTCCCAAATAAGTAAATCGAATGACCGGATTAAATGAATGATTTGAGACTATAGAAAATAAAATACTTCTTAATGTGTTTTAGTTGTTTAGAAATTCTCGAATTTCCGTTTCATGTAATAAGAATAGTGCTCAATACGTAATTCATAAACATACTTGAATTGAAGTATTTTAAAAATGTAGCAAAATAGACCATATACATCGAGTATCGAAGACAATAATATGCTGTCATAAAGTTTTATAGTCATGCTTTTTTTAAAGTTTACTAATTGTTATCAAAATTTAGAACACTTTGACACATACGAAGAGAAAAAGAAGGTGTTATAATAACATGTTTAAATACATTTTTTTTTAGTTACCTTTACTAATTAAAAGCATAATGAACGGAAATGGACCGACTGAGATGAGAGGGTGTGCACCCCCGTAGTCAAGAAAATGGTATACTTTTTCCTAACGGAACTGAAAATTTTTCGTGCATTCTTTTAGAAAAAAATCTTTACATCATTCTTTCTCTCTCTCTGTCAATGTTGACTGTTTCAAAACCAATCTTGATAATCAAACTTATTTGACTAGTCAAATATCCATTACCTGACTCATGTTGATTTAAAAAGTAGATTTTATAATCAATAAACTGTTATCGAATGTTTATTGAATCCTGATTGATGTATTCCTTCGGGGAGTCAGTTAACATCCAACGATTTTTCTTATTGTAACTGGAAAAGAAGAGAAGTGGAATGTTAAAATCAAATTTTAGTTTACATGTCAGTTGAGATTGAAATAATATTTTGTAATTCTATAATAAAAAATATACTGAACGTGCAAAACAAAAAAAAAATTGTTTATTGTTTTCATTTTGAAGTTTAAGCGATAAAAGATATGTTGTTAGATTGTTATTCTATATATATATAACAATAATAAATTGACTAAATTTATTTTTGTTCAATAGAATATATCTTTCGACAGTATTTTGTTTTTTTTAATTTCTAAAACATAGAAACTTTGAATGATGGATGAGAGCTATTGAAAAAATGTTGTTATTTTTTTTTCAAGTATTTATTCAAACAAGCAGTAGGTTAATATGAGCGATATTTAAATACAAGAATGCATTGTATCACATGTGTGTCTCTTATAATTATGATAGTCGACAAATTTACATTGTTCTTGACTTTGAAAAATATTTATCGTTTTTCGTTCGCTACAAAGTAGAGGTATACCTACGTCTTAATTCAATAAACGTTCTTTTTTTGCTTTTTCATTCAGATGGAAATCAAACGACTTGCATTCTCCGTTTTTTTATATTCTGTTTCTTATTAAAATTGAACCAATGGAATTATATAGAAATAATGAAGTCGATAACAAGTTCTTTAATTTACATAAGGTGAGAAAATTTCAAAATTTAAGTGTAATTTTTCTTCTATGATATTCATGGATGGTCAGATAGACCTCATCGAACCAAACAAGAGCATGAGAGTTTTATACTTTGAAAAAAACTTTTACAAACAAAAATCAAAAAAACAAAACATTGCCGTTAAAAGCAGGCTCAATTTTGAAAACCGATGTATTAGTGATCTCTGATAATTTTAATAATATCTTACTTTTATTCTTCCTGAAAACTTAAATCTAAAAACACAGTTTAAACTGTGTTTTTAGATTCAAGTTTTCAAGAAGAATAAAAATAAAATATTATTAAAATTATCAGAGGTCACTAATACATCGGTTTTCAAATTTTAGGCGGTTTTTAATGGTAGTCTTTTTTCTTTTTTAATTTTTGTTCTTAAAAGTTTTTCTCAAGATATAAAATTCACATGACCTTGTTCAGCTCGATGAGTTCTCTCTAACCATGTATAAATACTATAGAGAAAAATAGCGCTTAAACTTTGGGTTTCTTGCACTTTACTAGTGACGACAAGAATGGGAGTGAATTCGATTATAATGAATTAACAGATAATTTAGATGAAATTGAAGTTTCTTATATTTAAATGAAGAGAATTTTTTTAATTTTGATTATTATAATATTTTTATGTAGCCATTTTCAATCAAATAAAATAAAATGATTGAAGAATCACTTTTTCAATAAAAAAGAAAATTCTGTCTTCAAAGAGTTAATGTAAGTTTATTTTGTCAACTTTTGTCGAAATCAATTAGTTCGCACATTCCAAACTCAACTGAATTCTTACTACAACTGTGACATACGTCACTATTTTGCAAACAACAGATATCAGAATTAGTGCTTACATATATGAATAATAACATGAATTTGTTCGTTTGTCTTAGAAGCAAACTCTTTCAACTATTATTCATTATGTGAATTCAATAAATTTATCAAACTAAACATGAACGATAAACAATGTTTGTTATTATTTG